AACTTGCCATATTATTCTTTCTCTCCACACAAACTATGCATGCGTTTTCAGCCTGTCCCCACTCCCATGCACATTCTCTCTCACTTGGATCGGAAGCCAATCATATGGGCATAAAACTGCAGTGCTCATGTGGATCCATTTCATTGGCCATAGCTAATAAGATGCGTGTGTGTCTAATACTATATATTCAACTCAAAGTTGTCATCTAACAACTACACACACACACACATAACCCCAGCTGCTGCTAGTAGTGTTAATCTAGCCTATCTAGTAGCTACCCTACTCTTTATCTAAGCTTTGCCATCTGATGTGTGAAAGAAAATAGGTAGATCATGCATCTCTACATCAAGTACATAGTTTTGCTAGCTTCACAACTGAGTGAGGTCTGAGGTAAGCTCAACGATAGCATGACAGCATACTACCATGCAAAGGAGCTTATTGCACTCGATCATCGCATCAAAAAGCAATTACTAGGGCGTGTTACTGCTTACTAGTGCGGCCATTTAGTGGAAAATTTAATAAACATGCTGCACGAGATGCCTTGGATTCACTCTCATTTCATATTTCTTTTATTTATTATGGGGAAAACAGTACTTTGTTTGAGTAGTTATGCTTATACCATTTTGAACATCACACTTCACAAATTAATCAGTCGATGCATGCATCCTACCACTCACAAATTCCTTGTCACAGTATTGTCTGTAGTGATGGCTAGAGGCCCCGCTGCATTAATTTCACGACTAGGATAGCAACTAAGCAAAAAAAAGAGCATCAAGCTAGTAGAGACAAAGAGGAAAGTACAATTCATAAGCATATAGAAAGTGGCTGGAGGAGCCGTTTGGTGATGATTTCCAGTACACTACTATATTAAAGCATAAATAGATGGAATCTTTTGATTAGCTAAGGCCTGTCACTAACCTCTCATCAATATCCTAATAACAAAATGCATGGTCACATTCCATATTCTTGTGCATTGTTAAATTAATCCACATGCATCATATCCCTAGCTATAGTCATGTGGGCCTTTCGCCACTCACGATTGAAAGATGGTCCAACCTAACAAAACCAGGAATCTCTCTTTTTTATTTACAGAGGAGAACTAACCTCCTCCTGCCTCAATTATTGTTGATAAAAGTTTAGATAATATAGAATTGGTTGGTAGAGACAAAGTTGACCTTAGAAATGTTTATTATGCATGGCATCTTTGTTTAAGAAAAAGAAACTGCTCTGCATGGCGTCGGTGGTGAAGGTTAGCAGGCTATTCAAGACCAGATGATAGCTACAAATTAAATAAAATCATTTACTCCATCTAGCTGCATATGTTCAGCTTGACAGATATATACACATATATATATATATATATATATATATATATATATATATATATATATATATATATATATATATATATGTATATATATGGGAAATGCTATGCTCCAGGCGCCTGAGAATTTAGTTATTGCTCAGGCGACCAATCTGGAACGTCCATTTCTGATCGAACAGGCCATATATCGTCTTCTTCGGTCGGGCACCGGTGACATATTCGATCGCCTGGTAAGTAATCTAATTTCAGGCATCTGACCTTTAGGGTGTGTGTGTGTGTGTGTGTATATATATATATAGTATCACGGTGTGCACACATCGTGGATGACAGTTGACAAAAAAAAATATGGTATCATACATGCAGGACTTCAGAATTGTAAGCACTTCATTTTTTAAATAGGTAAGTATCATATTAGTGAATAGTGATGCTACAGTCCCTTTTCACAAGGTCTTTGTTTTAATAAGGACAAATTATGGATCTAACTTGTTCTTGGAATCATTCTAGACACCAGGAATTTTGTAGGCATTAATCACTTGACTTGCATTTTGTGTATTATGTTCTCATATTAACAGAACCAATCCCTCAGGATAAATTACTAATGCAATTAATTGAATGCAGATGAAAGAACAAGTACAATTTATTAGTGCATTATATTCATCTTTCTTTGGAGCTATGGCTGACCTAGCTAGGAAACTAAAATAATAAAGATTAACTTATCTCAGACTCTTGCATGGTGTTTAGTTTAGAACTTGAAAAAATATACAAAAATATGAGCAAATTTTACATCTATGTGTTCTGAAGAACCATGCCAAGTTGAACCCACTTATTTGTTCATTATGTAATTGACAGATGATCAAAATTTTAATTAAGCCCCTGACATTTAGCTTGGATAACCAATAATTTAATTGAGATGCGTATTTTTTTTCACTTTCCCTATAAGCTACCTTGATTGCACAGAGAGCTACGTACTAATCCCTCAGAAAAGAAAATCAAATCAGTAATCACCTAAACTATTACTAGGCATCTTTTACCCTGATTGTTTCTACCGTAATTTACATAGCTTGGTAAACACTAATTTCAATTAATAATCTTGTGAATCAAGCTTCTTAGGATCTGAAAGACTGAAAGTCACGGGTGAATGCATGTACAGTCATGTATACTTATATGTACTGCCAGTCTGACACACATGAGAACAAGTATCATATATATATATATATATATATATATATATATATATATATATATATATATATATATATATATATATATATATATATTTGGCACTCAAGTATAAGATATTACGTACTCCATCCGTCAACAAAAGAATGCAATTCTCGTTTTTCGATAAGTCAAACAGTTTGAACTTTAACTAAATTTATATAAAAAATACTAATATTCATGATACAAAATAAATATCATTGAATTCGTTATAGGATATATTTTCATAATAAATTTATTTGGAGACATAAACATTAATCTTATTTACTATAAATTTGGTCAAACTTGAACTAGTTTGACCGGCATGAATCCTATAGTTGCATTCTTTCATGGACGGTGGGAGTAATTAAGCTTCATACCTGTGTGGTTAGCCTGTCAATTCCTCGACACATATATATACACCGTGCAGGCCCGTACGCTAGTTATATATGTTTGTATCCATACGCATCTTTCATTTCTAATTGTTGCTTATACGTTTACAAACCAACGACACTCGTTTTTCTAAGATCAGATACATACATTGCACAATAGCAAGCGCAATAGCCACCTGAAAAGTTAGCTGGCCTTTCATCATTGGGTATGGCATCTCTATTCCGGTAGCTGTGCTGTGTGTGCAGGTATATATTAGCTATATATATAGCTAGCACTATCAGGTAGAAGTATTTATGTTTTAATCTACAAGAAAGGAGATTCCGTGCATGACAATTATTCATGTTTTCGCTTTGCTTGAGATTATTGATCAACACAGAGACGAGTAGACGAAACAATAGAGCTAGCCAGCTAGGCAAGAGTGAAAAAGGTCAGGCATGTATATATTTTTGGAAGAAGACAATATATATATTTGGTAGTGCAAATGTGGACAATCAAAATAAAACAATGTTACGGTCATGCGTGTACGTATGTATATACATGCGTGTGTAGTCCTGAACAAAAAGAAGCCTGTCACTGCAGTTGCTGAGAGAGCATATGCAGGCTTGCAAGGTAGGCCTATCGAGTGGAAAAGGAAGCAAGATCTCCAAGCCATTATGAAAAAGATCCATCCCCCAGTGATGGAGCACCAAGAAATGGTGTGTGTGTGTGAGAGAGAGAGGGGGTGCTGTTCGTGCACATACACTCTCTCTTTCTCTCTCTCTCCACACACACATGCATACGGCCGGAGAGAGAGAGAGGAGGGAGGGAAGACACTCGAAAGCCCTACTTGATGCTTCCTGCATGCCATACGGTGAGGTAGCTAGCTACTAGCTAGCTAGAGGTGAGGATGGGGCATAGCTTTCAGTGATGCATGGTAGGTGAAGGAGGCTCTTTCTAGGGCACCATCTATCTCGCTCAAGACTCCCTCTCTCGCTCGCAATATACTTTTGCTCACGCAATACAGCCACACAGCAGAGGCACTAGTAGCTGTACTTGTATGTACTCATGTACCCTATATATATTTACAGATGGATGAGATGATGAAGACAGCTAGCTTTCTTTAGCTAGCCCCTGTCGTAGCTCTGTTGCATGCATGTTCTCGTACACACGCTCGGTCGCTCGCCATCTACGCCATTGCACTACTACTGCTGCACGGGGGCTATTGCTAGGAAGGGGAGGAAGCCAAGCAAAAAGAGAACGGAGGAGAAAAGGCTCGGGAACAATGATGAGCTTACAGGCCATTTTCTGAGCCTAGAGGTGCATAGGAAAAGAAAGATCAGAAAGGCGTGTCCATGGGGGCTCCTACCTGCCTAAGGCTACTACTACGCAGCTCCAAAAGCTTTTGTGCGTGTGTGCACCCAGAAATGCACAAGGGACGGAAGCAGCAAGCTGCCAAATGCCAAGGTCCATCACTAGCCAGTGATAACTAACCATCTATCTAGCCCCATCACTTTCTCTCTCTAGGATGGATTAGTAGGGGAGAGGGAGAGGGAGAGGGAGAGGGCGAGAGAGAGATAGAGAGAGAGAGAGGAGAGCTACTCTCTTGTCAGGTGGTGGTGGTGGTGGTGAGGGAGGGGTGATGTGCCACCCCAGGACATACACCCCTCACCTACAACAGGAACAATACCTCACTACTCGCTCGCTTACATGTATGTTGTGATGTTGTCACACAAACTTAAACATACATGTATATTTTATACAAACAACACACTGAAAATACAGGCGCATATATATAAATATTAAACATATAAGTGTGTCTAGTCCCACACCTGTATGGTACAACTAGTCCCTTTTCTAGCTCTCGAGTTCCTTTCATCACCGATGTTGGGAAAGCAAGGCAAGGGGCCGGGGGCAAACACGCACCATGAGCTAGGGAGCTAAGTGTGTGTGAATGAAGAGAGAAAAAAAGGGAATAAAGATAGAAAAAAAAGCACCACACAACGAAAAGAGAAGCATGCGTGTGTACAAGCAAGCAAGCAAGAAAAAAAAACCAAACAACGCTTCAAGGAAGGAGATTGGAATTGTGATGAATACGAATAAACCGCACCTCTGATTCGTCTTCCAATCCAAGCTTGCCGGCCAGGTACTTGATCAGCAGCCGGACTGTCACCCTCCCGTCCCTGCAACAACATCACAAGCTCAATTAGTTTGTACAAAGATTAATAAAAGAAATTAATACCTGCAGCTGCAGCATATGATTTTTAATTTGTGCTGCATGAATGAATGAAGTTTGTGGTGGTTCGTTTCATATAGATGAGGAGGGGAAGAAGAGCTAGCATTGACAAAACGTACACTGATCCAAATGCAGGATGCCATGCTTGATTGATGCGTCGAATTCAGATTAAAGAACGAACGGTGCGTATGAGATGAGAAATAAATAGTACTTGATCCGTAGGTAGCTTCTCGGAATCTGAGGCAAGAATGGCTCCCTCCCTCTGCACGAATCAACCGAAAGGAAAGCCAAACAATGCTCCAAGTTAATTTGAGGGGAAAAAAGCAAGTGACAGAGAGAATAATCTACCGAATTCAAAATAACGGCCAAAAGTAATAAGCGATTCAAAAATTGCTCAAGAATGCGCCACATTTTGCAGGGATTCATCGGATCCACCGACAGATAGACGAGAGAGCGAGAGAGAGGTGACGATGAACACAAGACCACACCACACATGAAATGCTCGCATGGTTACTAGTGCAACACTCACTGGTGCGGCGCGGCCTGGAGTGCGAACCAGACGCCGGCGGCGGCCGACGGCGGCAGGACGACCCTGATCGTGTCGAGGCCGGAGGCGCCGCCGGCTCCGGCGCCGGGCGTGTAGAACGCGCGGTGCCCGAACCCGAAGGGGATCAGCGACGGCGGCGGTGGCGCCAACGCGGAGGGGCTCCACGGCGGCAGCCAGGGCGGCCCGGCGCGCGGCACGGGCAGGGGTATCGACGCCTGCGGAATGCCGGGCGCGGCCTGGTGCAGGAGCGGCCCCGGTGGCACGCCCATCCACGGCGGTAGCGCCTCCGTCGTCGTCGTCGTCCGCGGTTGCGGTTGCGACGACAGCGGCGGCGGCTGCTCCGCCGCGCGGTGTGCTGCGAAGACGACGCCGCGCGGCGTTCCGGCGCCGGGGGACGCCGGGGCTAGGCCGAGCCGGAGCCAGTCCCCGGCCCCGCCGTTGCCGCTGCTCCCGCTGGTGCCCGCGGCCTCCTGGTGGCTGCTGCCGGCGGGTTGGAGCGGCCGCAGCGTGAGATGCTGCTGCTCCGCGTGGGCGTGGCGGCGCGTGTCTTGGTCCGCCTGCTGATGCCTTTCCTGCGGCAGCGGAGGCGGCGGCGGCGGCTTGATCGGCTCGCTGTGGTGCTTATCGATGGGCTCCTGTGCCATGTGGCTCGAAGCCATCGGCGTCACGCGGAGGCCTGCCGCGGCGGCGGCGGCGCAGGGCGTGGCATGCGCGTCGCGGAGGAGCGGCTGCCGGTTCCGAGCCGGGACCATCCGGGCTGCCGCCGGCTCATGCCATCCGCCGAGGCCGACCCGGCCCGGCCCGGCCTAGCGCGCGCTCCACCTCGCTAGCTCTTGTGCACTCCGCTCCTTCAGTCCCAGTCCCTCCTTGCTGAGGGGCAGCCGGGGACGCGAGGCCGTCCGCGCGCGTCAGATGGAGGCGGCTGACCGCAGACGCGACGACCGCTCGTGTGGGCTACAACAGGAGATGAGAATATGAGATGCGAGGACAGAGAGGGAGCTGGATGGGGAAGAGCGGAAGAAGTTGCTAGAGGTGGAAGAGGGGAGCGAGCAGTAGCAGCATGGCACGGGGCAGCAAGGAGAGGAGACTAGGAGAGATATTAGAGAGGGAGAAGACCTCGGAGACGAGCACAATAGGAGTAGCTTCGACGCGGCGAGAGAGGAGAGGTGAGGATAGCAGGATTTACTTTTTGCCCCCCACCCCCTGCGGGGACAAAAGGAACGGCAGGGGCCGTGCGTCCGAGCCCAGGCTTGTGATGCAAAACCACCGTTCCTCAGGGTGTTTTCTGGAAGACGTGGAGCTTACGTGGTAACACCATGATGTAGCAGCCCCCGCCTGTGACCGGCGTTGCTTTCCCGGGTCGCGTCGTCGTCTCCGGCGAGCCGCCCTGCGCTGCGCTGGTCGTACGGGACCAGTGCGGCCGTGTCGTCAGCCAAGCATGCCTTGCCTTGCTGCTTTCCGCACGGCCAACGGCGTGGACGGCTTGAGCGCTGCTCCGGCAAATCTGTTCTCCACACCTAATAAAAAGACTATAACGTCATTATCTAATCGGTGATACGAAATTTTGATCCCTGATCACGCGTCCATGTCTGATACTAATTATCCTCCGTTTCTTACGTGTCAGGATCCTATCTGGTTCTCATACTAAAACCGGATCAATGTATCCGTGTCCGATATGAAGTTTTCGGAGTTTACATGGTAACACCATGATGTAGCCGCCCAGCCTGTGACCGGCGCTGCTTTCCCAGGTCGCGTCGTCGTCTCGGGCGATCCGCCTTGCGATGCGCTGGTCGTACGGGACCCGTGCAGCCGTGTCGTCAGGTAAGCTTGCCTTTGTTCATGTCCTACTTGGTTCCGACACGAAGATTAGATCCACGTGCTATCGATGGCAACGTCGCCTACCACTATATGCACAACGCCGTTAAACCCCTTAAATATTCGCTTCCATGGAGAGTCGAATCCAAGACATGAAATGCTACTGAGACTCTTCTAACCACTGGCCTACATCTCTTTCGCACCAATACAACATTTAGTTAGGAGGAGGAACAAAACAAAGGTACCATCATGACGCTAGAATCTTGACAGGATGGTTGAATTAATTGGGTCATATTCTACAAAAGTTCCCTAACTTTTTAGCCAAAAAGTATTTTTAGTTTGGTATATGATTTTAATTTCTATCTCAACCCATTCTAGTTTTGCGAAAAAAAACCCATTTGTTGAGTTGATTGGGACGACTTTCAAAAATCAACTAGCTCATTAAGGTTTCAAAATGACAATTTAAATTCTATACTGATGGCTATTGTATTTTCCAGTTGGAAATTTTCAGCGGAAATTTAAACGTGCAAGGAGTTTCCTATATCATCAGTTTAGAAAAGCTAAATATAAGGAATAAACCAAGTGCGATAACAAAAGCATGCTAAACCCTTTGTGCAACTGGGCTGGACCACGTCATAGCTTGTGTTGCCGTGTGGCCCAGCACGAAAACATGCATGCATGACCCAACCATGTTTAGTCCAAATTACCTTATTTATACGCACTAATAAATGGATTGTGATCCAGCACCACCTCCCAGCGTGGAGTATCATCATCCATGGCACGGCGGTGCCCACACCACTTAATAAATTTTCTGAGTGTCTCTCATTCACGCCACAGTACAGCTCAACTGCACTGCAAACCACACCCATTTAAGCTTTTTGCTTAGGATTCAATGGCATGTGTGTTAGCCCTAATGAACAATGAAGGCATGCATGATCTGTCGCTCTAGAAGAGAGGCATGAAGTACACAGGCTAGCTTGCTAGGGTTCTAGTTAGCTAGCTTGCATGCACCCAAGAGGGAAAACCTTTTCCCCCCATGCATGACAATTTGTGATAATGCCTAGGATCTTGGAGAAGGTGATGTTCTTCCTACTGAATCGTACCCCGGTCGACCAATGTTTACAGAGAAAACACGAGCTTCACTTAATTCTGAGGGCGACAGGACTGCCAAATGGCGGCAGAGAGCACCTTAACCTTTGGTTTGTGATCATGCAACACAGGCGTTTAAGCCACGTCGAGGAGTGAGGTTTTGGCAGTGTTCAATTAACGATGGATGAAGTGGAATCGTATAGGCCTTTCATTTGTGTGATGCCACATTTTGATGCAGACTTCGTCGAGTAGGAAAATCTGGTTATTCATATTGAATTCACAAGTAGTATATATAGGAGTAGTAATTTAATTACATGTTTGTACGAAATACAAAATCAGGATATATCATATATATTTTCTCCAACCTGCAGGATAGATAAGCTCGATCTACTCTCTAAATAGCAATATGTTTGGAAAAGGGACGTTTAGACCTGGGCATCTCCGGCAATACTACCTAAAACACACCATCTACTTCTCTGTTTAGATAGCTATCAATTATACTACCCAAATTTAGTTGTTTTCTCCAGCAACACTACCTAAAATAAACTAACCAAATTCATTGTAGGTGAGAATGACATGTGGGACTTATATTTCATCCTCTGTCATGTTCTTCTTCCATGGACGGACAGAGCAGGGTGGGGCTAAGCCGCCGGTGAGCCTTGCCGGGGAGGGGAGGTCGTGCCAGGGAGGCCACACAGGGCTGCGGCGCCGGGGAGGTGAGGGGAGGCCGCGCCGGGCAGCCGTGCCGGGGAGGTCGCGTCGGGGAGGGGCGGCCGCGCCAGGGAGGTCGTGTCAGGCTGCCGCGCCGGGAGGCTCCGGGGGAGGGCCGCCACTGGGGAGGCTCGCTACGTCGCGGAGGAAGCCATCGGTCGGGGCTGAGGCTGCTCCACCGGCAGCCGGGAGAACGTCGGTGGCCGCAGGGAAGCCGGTGTCCACCCGATTGAAGCCGCAATTGTGGCCGCTCGAGTCGAGCGTGGGTAGGAAAAAGTCCGATATAGATTTTGCACAGTGGAGTAGGGCGCCAACAGAAGTAGAGGGTGAAGGGGGGAAATAGGGGGCCAACAAAAGTAGGGGATGCACTAGGGGGTCTGCTGGAGTTGGTTTTTTTACCCCCACTAGCTAAATCCAGAGCAGGGGGTAAGTAGGTGGTGTTCTTGGAGATGCTCCTTTAATTTGCATAGGTTGACTTCTCCTAATTTTTATTGAAAAAATGAAAGTTTACTCCCAGTATCTTACATTTCAAATGTCATTGATAAATGATAATTATAAAAAATGAATTTAATAAAACTACATTTGGATAGATAAACTATATATTAATCATACTACCAAATGCATGAAATCTAAGACTTAAAATTATTTGTTTCCGTCATTGTCCCTAACTCAAAATGCAAAAGAAAGAATACATTACCAATCACATTTCACTTTCTCATGCAATGGAAATCCATCCTTATTTTCCTCACAATTTATCCAACTCTATTTGGACCCTAACGCCTAAACAGACGTGAATAGGCCACTTAAAGACTAAGGCCCAAAGATCACTAACGATAACCTATATAAGTTCTATATATGTCAGTTAGGTTTTTCTATATCTCTTGGCATCCACTACTAAAAAAATGATTTTAGAAGACAACATATTTTATTTTCAGAGGTAGACATTGTTTCCCACCATCTCCATAAATGATCTGGTGCCCGAATGGAGCACGTCTAGAAATGGATTTTCAAAAGTAGGCCTCTTAAAAGGGATTGTCAACGATTCATAGAGACGGGCCTTTTAAGAGACTCACCTCTAATAAAATCCTTTTTTGGCCTACCTTTGTAATTCAACCGGGTAGACAAAGCCCAACACCCATTGGATAGGTTCACACCATATATAAATTCCACGAGTAAACCCTAACATGTCTCCCATTCCACTCTCTGCCAGGCTTAGAGCTCCACCCCTCATACAACATTGCCACTGCCTCTCTCACACACCGATCTAACCCTATATGTTCTCTCCAATGCCCAACGCTTGGCCCACCAATGACAACATGGACGGCCAGAGCCGGATCCACCGCCACCTCCCGCTTCCAGGGTAGGATGCTCGCACAGGGCAAGCCTCTTCCAGTGGCGGCGCTCAGTACTCTCCCCCTTAGGCCACGATGCACGCGTGCGACCCGCATCTCTTCCTCCTCACCGGTGACCCATCCTCGAGCAGTGCATCCTAAAAACTGTGAGGCGAGATCTAGTCCTTCGTCTCTCCTAGTTTTGCATTTCATCGATTTGACCATTCCTACTCTATCTGTCTCTCAATTAAACATAGGGGGACTGGCTCTCAATTCACTACTACAGAATGGACTTGTTGTCCCGGGCGGTAACAGCCTTTAGTCCCGGTTACCGCGCCGGGACAACGATCCCGGGACTAAAGGTGGAACCTTCAGTCTCGGGTCATCGAGCCGGGATTAAAGAGAGATCTTTAGTCCCGGTTGGTAACACCAACCGGGACTAAAGGCCCTCCAAAAAGCGAACTGGCAAGATTTTTTAGTCCCGGTTGGGGTTACCAACCGGGACTAATGAGTTCATTTTTAGTCCGGTTGGTAACCCCAACCGGGACTAAAGGTTCCTTTTCTTTTTTTTTTTTTTGTTTACTTTGTTTTCATTTCAGTTACACGTATTTGTTTAATATATAATATGTTTTTATGTACGTATTCTACGTTGCTAATATAAATACACGCATGCATATAATTACATCTAATTCTCATCTTGAGCATTATTATATTCGAATAAAGTATGAAACTATATATATTATAGATAGATATATATATGTATATATACAACACTTTCATAATCTTATTCTCGAAAATAACGATAT